CCTTTTATTGGTGTCCCCTTTGTTTTCCACTAACCACGCCAAAGATATAGTTTCTTGCTGGGGCCCCTATTTCAGCCAAGTCTCTTGGGAAAGTGAAGAAGACGCCGGCGGAGAGCATGGGGGAATCGATCCTTTGCCGGAACATTCCCTCCAGATCTCTCCAGGCCACCAGCTGGCGGTCAGAGCAGATCACTTGCAGCCCGGCAGAGGCCAGAGCGCCCCGGCCAAGGAGAGAAGGAGAGAAGGGCCGGGCACCGGGCCGACTCGAGGATCTGGCCTCTCACTCCCGAGGATCTGAGCTCAGTTTCGGAGAATTGGTCACTTTTTGGGAGTGGACCATTTTGGAGGTAAAGAACAAGCTTGGACTTGTTTGGCCAATCCACTCAGGAAATGAGGTTTAGCCTTCCCTTTTTGGGTTCTTATTCTTGGCCGCAAACGGCATGATGGACATATAGACCTCCTTTGCAGGTGTCTTTGGAAGCCCTTCTTCTTTCCTTTGTCAACCTCGCGGCCCATTTCAGGGGTGGGAATCTCAGGAAGAGATTCCTGGCAAGAGGTGGCTCTAGATGGGATCAAGAGTCACCAAGATAGATGGCAGTGGCTCAAACTTAAACAGGGGGGTTACGCAGGTGTTGGTCCATGTTTCCACTTACCAGGGTTCCATTTTGGTACCGGTTTTTTGAGCCACAGCCACATAAATCCTCACGAGGTCACTAAGATAAATGGGATCAAATTCCATGGAGAACCAACCCTCATGACTTTGTGCATGCACCAGCGCGGTTCGTACTATTCACCACGAGAGATGCAGATGAGGCAACCCCTATAAACCATCCATCCCCAACACGGCTCATTCCACGCAACTCATTCCCCACGCAACTCGCACCGATCGCAAGAAAGAGGAATCCACATGGACTGCGGATGCACGCAGCGTTGTTGGGCTCTAAGGATCACCTCGCCGCATTGCGCCAGCACCTTGCGTCGGGCCCGGAAGCCTTCGCCGAGAAGAAGCGGCTCTTTGAGGACCGGGAGAGGCTTTATTTGGATCTCCCGAGCAGGTGAGAAACGGAGCAAAGCGGCTGCTTCCAGAATCTTCCAGACTTCCACTTCGCTTGGTACGAACTTTGGTGCATCTTGCTGGGATGTTAGGACTTTAACTTTTTGCCAACCAATGGGTTTTCCACCAAACCACTACGAGTTAGCCGCTTTTAGCAGGGCTTAGCAGAAAGCAACTGAGACTGGACATGTGCGCCTTCACGGATTTGAAATCGCAGATCGCTGGGCCAAGTCCACGAGGCAGCTTTGAGGCTGTGTGGGCAGCGCAGCTTAATACAGCTACGTCAAGCTTGGGTGCAAAAGAAGGATGAAGGGGGAGGGGTCATTTGGGCCTGTTTCAACATTATGGGGCAAACTTGAAATCTATCTTGGCAGTTTGTGAATCATCTGGAGGGCTTGTCCCAATTGCCTTGCTCGCCTGTAGAAGGCGATGCCAATTTTTCGGGTCCCAAATCTTGAGACATACTGTCAAGGGCCACAAAGTCGATAGTGTCGACTCAAGTGACTGTAGCCAATCGCAGCCTCAAGCCCCAAAGCCCCCAATTGGCCGCCCTTTTTGGTTCTTCTTTGGGGGAGGCCTTGCAACCACGGGATCAAGGGGCCTTAATTCCCCCAGCTCTCGGAGGTCGCGTTTTCGACGCGTTTTCTGCTCGCCACGGCTTAGGGCAAAGGCTTTTGGCTGTGCAGCTCTGACCGTAAGTTCGAAAGCTCAATGAACAAGCAACCCGCAAGGTGGCCTGGTTCTGCCCACGTCCAGGTTTTTTTTTCTCAGTGAGGCCTTCTGGGGACTGATTCGCTGAGCCACTCGGAACTTGGAACCTTCACAAAAGGAATGACGGGGATGGCTGTTCTCTTCCAGACCCCCACTTTGAACACTTAGACCCTCCTGACAACGGGAAGCCTTCACTGGGACTTTTGGTTTTCCGCCCTCCCATGAGACGTTTTCGATGCGAAAGCGTCAGGAGGCCATGGTTCAAAATCCAAATCGTACCCCACTAAAATAGGCAACCTAAAATGGGTGGTGAATTCACCCAATCCCCGAAATAGGATCCCAAAACGGTTTTGACCCGCGTCAGGAGGCGGCGAAGGAGCACTCGGATTGCAAGTCCGCGCGGAAGGGCGGGCTGCTGGACCCCTTTGAGCGGGGGATGATGACCAAGGCGCGGCTGGGGCTGAGGATGCTGAGGGTTTTTGAAGTTCGCCCCGGTGAGGTGAAAGGGTTTGGGAAGGGTTCCCCAAAGTCAACCAACACAAAAAGGATGCTCTTTCTTGCCCATGGCCACTGGGCATCGGGGAGGATGCGAGATATATTTGTTTGGTTGGGAAGCTTGGAGAGGAAAGGGGCAAACAAGGGACAGGGGGTGTGCTTGTAATAATTTTGGCTGGATTTTGGTTTGTGGGCCGAGGGCGGGGGCCCGGGGTTTGGGTGGAGATCATTGCAATGCAGTTGTCAAAGGGAGATCCAGGGAGGATTGCGGTTTGCCCCGCTCCAAAGTCTCCTAAGGAAGCTCGACCCATCCCCCTCACTCAGGGTTCTACAGTGGAACGGTGATTTCCTCCCCTGCCACCTCCATCTCTTGGATCTCCGGTGCCTTGACGGGGCTGCCGCTTGGGTTCTATACCCTCCCCAGCAAATGGCAAACATAGAAGTGCACCGGTCGATACCGTTCTACTAGAAAGAGCGACCCCACCAACCCCACCCCCAACCCAGATGTGCTGCCTCGTGTTGGGTGCCCATGCTTAATAGCCCAGCACTGGAAGGGGCTGACTTTGAGAGTTGAACCGGAAAACTGGGTTGTTGAAAATCAATCCTAAATCTTTATGCCAGATAGCGTTTTCGAAACCTCGCTCGCCCCATTTTGAACCAGGGCAAGGGTTGGAAACCTCTTGCCCTTTATCATATCTAGGTCCCCAGTAGTGCCCCCTTTACCCTTTGTTGGGCGGAGGGTTCCCCTACTAAAATAGACTACAGAAAAAATCGGGTACCCTTATTCCAACCTCTCTACTGGAGGACCTAGATATGTTTTTGTTGAAGGGGGCTCCCTTGAAAACAAGAAACACGTGCACGTGTTTTCCCATGGACAAACCTGGCAAGCCGCCCCACACTTGCAAAAAGTGAAATGTTAGTCATAACTCACTTCCTGAGTTCATGAACTTTAAGCCTTTTGGGAAGACCATTTTAGTGGTAAATAGAAAGTTGAACTTTTTTGGGGCCATCCACTCAGCAAGTGAGATAAAGATTGCCAACACCTTTTGAACAGAATTTGGCCGGAAGTTCCTAAAAACACGGCAACCACTGGCTTCAAACTTGCCTTTGGCTCAAACATTTTCACCTTTCTACAAAGATCAAGGCAGCTCGGCTTCTGCGGTTCGGCGGCTGACCGGTTCCTCGCCAGGCCTTCGAGGATGTCGCCTTTGCACTGGAGAAGGGTCAGCTCTCCGAGGCCCTGCGGGTGGAGCGACCCAGCCGTCCGTTTGCTGGGGTTAGCTTTGCTATTTTTTGGAGGGGGTGGTCTCAAAGGGAAAGGCAAAAGGCATTTGCCATTTGTCACCCTATTTCGACACACACACATGGCTAATTCACAATCTCTCGGATGTTCATTTGCATGTTTACCCATCATGCCTCTCCCGGTTTCTCTTTGGTTTCTTTCCCTCCAGGCGTTGCAGGGAATATTGCGGTTTGCGCTGTTCCTTTCCTGGCCATGGTCGCCCCATCCCCCACGACTTAACAAGGCCCTGATCACCCGCTGACCGTCCACTGACCATCCACTGCCCAGGGAAGGGCGCTTTAGGACTCTCTGATTTTGCTGGCTTTGCTATCAATCAAGACGGGGTTTTGGAATAAACTCAGGCGGGCTGGGGGGGAGGGAGGGGAGGGGGAGGGAGCCCAAACAGGCCCCAAATAAGGCCTTATTAAGGGAGTAATAAGGGCTTTGGGCTCCCTCCCCCTCCCCTCCCTCCCCCCCAGCCCCCATGATAAACCAGTGTATCTCCTCAGAATCTATCAGGGGCGGTTGGTAGAGGATTGGATCATTCCTTCATTCCCAAGAACCCGGCCAGGTCTTCTCCACCAAGCAGGGGGAGCACCTGCTGCTGCGCATCTCCTGAGCCTGAGAAAAGAGAAGCATGAAGCGGCGACCAAAGGATGTGCAGCTGGAAACGCCCGTAGCTCCCGAAAACAAGTTGCAAGGGTGTGCAAGAACTGACCTCGTCCGCAGGCACAATTTGTTTGAGAAAGCTTGGGGGACAGCTGGTAAGAATCCAATGTTTTTTCTTACCGCATCACTGGGTCTGTGCGACTACGGCAGGGCCCCGAAAGACGACAAAACCTGAGAGCGACATGCATACTGTTTGGGAGGACCATCTTAGTGGCCAACAAACAGCTCATGGACTTGTTTTTGACCATCCACTCGGCAATTGAGCTGCCTATCAAGTTTGCACCCGCGGCCTTACCCAATTGCCAGTATATAGAGGTGGCAGGTTTGGGGGGTGGATCCTGGTCAATTCTCCTCGGCCACCTGGCCCCTTCCAAACACACTCCCCCAACATGGTGGTTGTCCTTTTGGTTCCCCTTTTAAATCCCAGCAAACATGCCCAAGTGTCGCACATCCTATAGCGCTCCTTTAGGACTGTGGCACCAAGGGAACCCACAAGTGGACGTCTCAACGTCGGCAGAAAGTGCTGGGCTGCTTTTGGGAGGTATGCCAAGCTTAGAGGCTTAGGCGAACAGCAAAATTCCACCTCCAACAGGCGGAAAGGGAAGGGTTGGGTCAGGTCACCTTGAGGCGTGCGTGCACGGAACACTGCTTGAACCCCCCCCCCCCCGCACCTTCCCCCCTCCCCCCTCCCCCCCAAACAAAACTAGTACAAAACACACATAACACATTCTTCCCCCATCCTCTCCCCATCCTCCCCCCATCATCCCCCCCAATCCCATCCCCGCGCAGGTGGCTTTGACCCTGACGGCCGCCAAAGACTCTGCGCGGGAGTGGTTCGCTCGTGGCCTGCCGCTCCGGCGAACCACGCGGACGATGGGCTCCGGTGGATTTCAATCTTCCAAGGGCCTGCTTTGACCATGGGTCACTTTCCCATGTCGTTCAAGTAGATATACTTTCATACAGTAGCCTAAGAATGCTCTAATGTGTCAAGAGATACTATTTGTTTTCTTTTTCTTTTTCCGGGAGGGGGCGGGGTCCTTTCAAACTCACGGAGCCAATGCAAAGCTTTGTTTTTGGTGGTTCCTCTTCCGGGCCGTTTTGCAAAATCACTCCCCCCCCCCAAAAAAAAAGAGACGAAGAGCAAAAACAAAACAGAGCCACAAAGTGGAAGCAACAAATAACAACAACAGAAAGAAAGCCCCCCCCCCAAAAGAAAAACAAACAAACAGGTGTCCGATTTTCCCCTGGCCGCTGGAGGGAGCCATGACAACCTCTTGGGTTCGGACGGAACCGGTGTCACCGAATCGTCCCGTTTTGGGCCTGAAAGCTCAGGGCTTGACGATTCAACCTCGAACTTGGTGGCTCCCGAAAGCCATCCGGTTCCTGAGCATTTTTTTTTAGCTTATAGTGTTTAGTGGGGGAAGCCCAGAACAGGTTACACTTTGCTCAGGGTAAAGAGCAACCCAACTTGGCCGTGTAGGTTGCAACCTTGGTTTTAAGCTGGTTGGTGTTTCAGCTCCTTCTGGCATGGTTGAAACCATTCTCAGACTGAGAGCGAAGAATGCACCATCAAGGGCTTTGCAGGCCAGGCGGCCCTTGCGGACGCGTTTGCAGGCGAAAGTCGCGTTTTGCCAGTTGGCACCCTTTTTGGTGCATCAAAGATGAGAACGAACCTTTTCAGGAGGGCTTCTGCACTTTGAGGTGGCCCCTGATTTTTATCAACATGGGCCCATGGTCAGTCTTTTTATTGTTGGTACCCCTTTTAGGTAGGGTTGGTTTAAAAGGAAGCCCACAGGGTAGCACAATAACCTCAAATAGTCCCAAATAACAAACGAACAATTTTCATTTGGAGTTAGATGCTGGGTGATGTCTCCAGAGGGCATGATCCCTGGGTGTGGCTCAAAATTTAAGAGCTGGGGTTACGCATGGTCTTTGTCTCCATCCAAGGGCCCCAAATATGTTTGTACCTAAGAACCCAAATTAGAAAGCTTATTATTTTATTAGTTACATCATTCGGGTTCTTCCGTCTGTTCCTTGTCTTTTTGGTTTTTATTATTTACTATCATCTCCTTTCGATTTCTTGCTTTTCATTTGTTGAGGTTCCACTTTTTTGAGCCACAGCCACCTTGGCTTTTGCCATAGAGAACTCGGGCGCCTAAGGAGGGGCGGCAATCAGCACGGCCCCGCCGCGCGCGCGAAGCTTTGCAAAGTGCTGGCCGGGACCTCGATTCGTTTAAGTCGGTGGAAGGGGACCCGTTGGATGGGGTCGACTGGAAACCCCGGATCTACCCCCGACTCCAAATACCCGGCCTTTTTTTAGGGTAGCAGGTGGACCCTCTGCTTAAAAAGGAGGTATCTAAGATGAAAAACCAGGTTTTCAAAAGAATACCCTAGAACAAGTGGGTATTTGGAGTAGGGCGTAGAACCCATCCGATTAGACAAAGGGAATTTAGGGGGCCCCTACCAAAGTATTTTTCCTTCTTCAACAAATCATTTCAAACTGGGGTCAACATGAGTCGACGGGCTCCAGCTCAAAGGACCATCATGTCTTCGCATTCGAAAGGAACCCCACGTTTTGGGCACCGAATGTAGCGTTCCCAGAGCGTCCACTTTCAGCCTTGGTATTGGCGTTGGGTTTTCAAAGCAAACTGCAACACGGCCTGGCAGAGAAGGCGAGGAGCAAGTTCCAAGCCCAAGGCTCAACGCTTGACTTGCCTAGAATCTTCCCCAGAATGAGTTCCCCTTTCTCCTTTTTTACTTTTTTGGGGTCCCCTTTGTTTTCCACTAACCAGGCAAACAATATGTTTTTGCTGGGGTCCTAATTCCAGCCAAGGAATAAGGGTTCCTCAAGTACGACCTTCATGGAATTATTTTTCCAGTGGAAGACAATGTGCAACTTGGCTGGTCACGTTGCCGAACTGCCCTTGGTTCCTGAACTTACCACCAACAAGCAAAGCAGCAGATGGCAGCTTGCAAATGAGCCGAAGGAGCAATGGAATTCCACTTTTGACTGCCAGCCCACGAAGGTCCATCATGTTTGGAGGACTCCTTCCAATTTCTGAACTAGGAAGGTACCCAAACCCACACGGCTTGCAAACCACCCCCTGGCTTCCTCCAACTAATAAGGCCTTCCACCCAAGCGAGCCACAATCAAAACCCGGGTAGTGAAGGTTAGTAAGCAACAATCCCAACCATAAATAGCTGCGGATATCCGCCTTCTTAATTCTTGAAGCATGGTTCTGGGTCGACCATTTTCATACCGGGTTTTGAGCAAGTAACCCAATTGGCTGAAAAATAGAGGGCGATTCCTGGTTTACCTGGTGGTTCAATCAACTACCGGGGCCACGTATTTTCCCAAAAAGGACGCCTATGCCCCCTGGTTTCCTCCAAGTAAGGCCTTCCAACCGGCTTGACTTGCGACCCCCGCTTCGCTCAGGCGGCGCAGCTGCAAGAGCACGCGGCCACGCTCTGCACTTCGACGCCTGCGCAGCTGCAGCAGGTCTTGGATCGCGGCAGGGCAGAGGAGGAAGGCGCAGAAGACGATGAAAACGCGAGACGGAGGTGCCAACATATGAGTATGGGTCAAAATGAAACCACCAGGGGACCACAGGTTTTAGTCATTCTTTCCATTCACCAGGGTGCCATTTTGGGTACCTATGCATCTTGACCCATTTTTAAAGGGTCAGAGGGAGACTGCAGGTAGGTTCTCGGGGTACCTTCCATTTCCAGTCTGAACCCAGGGATCCGAATTTCTTTTTAGGAAGCCATCAAAGACCCAGGGGAAACGGATCCGGTTTTTGGAAAGAACCATGGTTGAAAAGAATGGGAAAGGAATCAACCTCTAGAAAATGTTCTTTTGGCCGGCACTTCAGGCTCACTGAGTTTGGATACGAATCAGAAGTGATGTTTGATGCGGCCTTTCTTTTGGTCGCCACCCCCCCCCCTGCCCCATCAAAGTGGGGGGGGACTGCATCTTGCATCGAATGCAAAGCTGTGCCACCAGGCACGCAAAGGCAACATCCCTTGATTTGTTTTGCGGCAACCCACAGGATAATCGGCGGCTGAATAATTGGTAAACAATGGGCAACTTGAGGTGCTGATTGCGAATCAGATTTTCGACCTTTGGGGTTTACCATTCATTTTTGGTCCGCTTTTGGTCAAGGTCTCAGAAGGTAATCTATCACTAACATAGGACAGGGGATTCCTTCAAAAGGAAATTGATCTTCCAGGTGCCTCTCTACAGGTGCCATGTTGGGGAGGGAGGGACACCTATTATTTCCAAAAGGGCGGGGTGTCCACGAACACGATTCTTCTTTTCTTTGGGTTATGAGGTTCCATGTAAGGGCGTTGCATAGGCCCTTTGGACATCTGCAAATTCTCTGGCGGGGGACATGTCCGGGCCATGCGCATGTTGAACCCGAGACTCTCAAGACCTCAAAGGCTGGTACATGTTGGCCAGACTGCTTAAGATCCACCTTTACCAGGTGTTTCGAAGGGCTTCTAAACGTACCAGGCGATTTGTACTGGGGTCATGGACCTATATATGTTTAAAGGGTCATGGAGACTCCAGGGAGGTGGCTCCTTTCACGTCCCCCTGTTCCCTGGGCCGAGTTTTGGATCCTCGGAGCGCGCGGCGCGCGATGGATCGCACGATGGCAGGGCCGCTCATTTGCTCGCTCATGGCCCGAGAGTTGCGGGGCAGCCGCTACGAGGGCCTGCTCCTTTGGCGGAAGGTTGCGCGCGGCCCAAAATGGGGCACTGCGTTGCCCGAATCCGACCTGTTGAGCTTTTGGCTTCTCTGTTTCGGTCCAAGTTCGGTCCATGTTCGCCAAAATTTACTTGGTGGCTCCCAGCCATCCCCTTAGCTCTTTAGGTTTTTAGGGCTGAGTAGTTGAGTGGGGATTTCCACTTAATCGACCAGAAGTTCAGCTTTTAGCGGGGGATCTGAGGGCAGCCGGTCAACTGAGAGACGGCTGACAGCTCAGCGGAGCAGATGGAACTTGACTGGGGGTCAAGCCCTGCAAGCTGGTGGCCGGAAAAGAGGGCCGGGGAAGACCATCCGAACTTGCGTTCAAAGATCCGAAGTTTAGCCATGGAAGCAAGCCCAAAGAGAGTTGGCCCCTTCTTCCTAGGGTCACCTGGCACCAGGGCAAGAGCAGGCTTGTTAGACCCTTGTTCTCTGGCGACTGGGGCCAAATAAGTGCCCATGTTTTTTTGGAGCAGCTTTTGAGCCGTTGACTGCAAGTCACTCGGACACCTGTCCGGCGGAGGTCGATTTCCCCCCCGCCGGGTTCAGTGGAGTCCACCCTTCCATTCTGTTCGGTTGCTGCCCCACTTGAACCAGGCAACCCCAAAAACTGCGTTGGCTTGGTGCGCAAGGGCCATGGAGCTTGAAACTCAGAGAGTTCCTCGGCTCGGTTTTGTTTGTCGACGCCCTCCCAATGAGACGAGAGGGCCTGAGAGCGTAGTAAGTAAAAGGTTCAGACGCGGTTAAGCTCAAGCCAACCTGGTCACACTTGCTTGTTGCTTTGACGTTTCTTGTCGAGCCACAGTCAAAAACCGGGAGTGTAGATGAAGGTTTGTTGATAGTCTGAGCAATTAATCTCGGCGCGGATATCCGTTTTGATTCTTTACCACAGTGTGCGGTAGACTATTTTATTCCGGGCTTTCGCTCTTTTTTGCTTCAAATGCGACATCCGAATCCGAATTTTCGTTCGGGGCCCTTCCAGAGACACGTCCCATGAGCTGCACCCCATTGGGAAACCTCCGAGGCAGGTCCCTTGGACCATTGGACCCTTGTACCCCATCGTCACTTTGATCCCGCAGTGTCCTTTTCGAAATCACATGCTGGCTTCGGACTTGGGAGGCAACTGGAGGCCAATCCCAGGAAGGTCTGACTCAAGGGGTTGGCTGAGACTTGGGGAAATCCAGCAGCAGGGATCTTTGAGTCTAGCTTGCCTTCATTTGCTTTTAAGCCCCCTAGGGAAAAAAAACATCTAAAACAAAAAGGGGAAATCAAATCAAATAATGGAACCCTGACCCAACCATCGATATCCTCCACAAAAAGCACGCGCTAAGCTGAAGCACAAGTTCCCACAAAAACGACCAGCGCAAGTTTGGGAAGCCTCAACCAGCGATGTGGTTCCGCGTGACTAAGGGCGGATCCTTCAATGTGCCTCACTCCCCTATCTTGACCCCATATCAACCAGTGCATTAACGGCGGGGGGTGATTTTCCCATCTTTTCCCCGGGTTTAATGGGGAATCAGACCACTTTTGGAGGGGCCCGCACCCCCAAATTAATGGCATACCTGACCAGCTATCGCACGCAGACACACATATATACATATTATATATATATATATGTATATAAACATATTTGTTAATGTTTACACATGTATAAACGGGCGTGTCTCAAACTAGGGGGACCTTTCGTTGTACGGGTTACAAAGGAAGGCATGGGGTTTTACCAGAACGGCCGCCCTTTTCTACCGAACGTGTCGCTGAAGAGCTTTTCAAAAGCAACGGGAGCTCGCTCCAGATCGACCTGGCATCAAGCCAAAGCCACGTTTTGTTTTAGAAGGAATTGGGACTTCGTTTCCCCGAGCAGGGGGGTGCATTTGATTTATTTGCCGCCGAATTCCCGGTTGGTCACCGGTTGGTCACCGGTTGGTCCGGGTTGGTCACCGGTTGGTCACCGGCTGGTCACCGGCACCGGTCAATGAGAAGCGCTGCTAGGTGGATCTCCAGGAAGGCGCCGGGGCATTATTATCTGGGGGACGAGCACGAGGGCGCCCACCTCCCGTCCACCGACAAGGCGCGAATTGAGTGGCTGGGCCTGGATGGGTGGGTGGGCCTGGGTGGGTGGGCCTGGGTGGGTGGGTGGGATGTTTTTTTTTTTTCTTTTTGGCCGGGGGTGGGGTGCCAAAAGCAAGAAGAGGCGGGATGGATGTATGACCAAGTAAGTAGACCATGAGTATATATGTATATATGTATATATATATACATGTGTGTGTATATATACTGTATGTGACATGTGTATGTATTGCAATTGGTAGAGTTAGACTTCTTGAATGTGACCTGGAACATTTCCAACAGTGGTGGGGACCCTCTTTAGTCTTCTTTCTAGTGATTACTTTGGCATTGCCAAGTCGAAACTTAGTACTGCCGTATTGCCAAGGCTTCCTCTCAGATTCCCGCTGCTTACTTTAGTATTGCAAAGTCGAACATTAGTTTTGCTAAGACTTACTCTCAGATTCCTACTCTAGTATTGGGGCTTACTTTTGTTGGCCCTCTGTGTTTCTGGGGGGGGACTTTCTGTACTTGAAGACCCCAAAACAGTCGCAGGATCTTGACTTAAGAAAGCACCGCTCTAGAATAGACGTCCCATGTACAAAAGCAGGCCAGACATTGATTCACAGGCTAGGTCCAGTGCCCCTACTTTCATGCTGCCAGGAGGGCCGCAAAGGGGGTACACAGGAGCTCCTTGTGGATTTTGACTGGGGTGTCGGCGTCCCTCTGATGAAACACCCCTGTTAATCATGCAGCATTGCGTTTCGTTAAGGCCGGGTCAGGGGCGAGATATCCGGGTCTTTCAAAATACCTCTTTTCGCTGCAGATAAAAGTAGGCTTCCTTCCATAGTTTGATGTTCGAGAAATCTAGGAACCTGGTTTCCATGTTTGGCAACATGTTGAGTGGTCGGGAGGCCGCCAGCCAGGAAACGTCAAAAGCTTCTTGGGGTTCCTAATTAGGAGGGGGGGGTTCTGAGAACCGAGCAGTGACTAGGCTGCACTCTTCAACTTGCAGCGTCGTGGCAGGTGTGCGGACTGGATAATTTTGGCGAGTGCTTGGCTTTTTCTTTGTAGGTAGAGTTTCCACTGCCCCCCAGCAACTTTTGACCTGCGGAAGTAATGCGCCCTTGCGTCACTATGCAATTTTAACTGCCAAGGGGGGTCAACCATGGGGACACTTTGGGTCTGTGTTGCAACCTCCTCCTTGCTTCCCAGAATGAGTTCCCCTTTTGATTTGTTTTGCTTTTTTGGGGTCCCCTTTGTTTTCCACTAACCAGGCAAAACAGTTGTTTTTTTGCTGGGGTCCTAATTCCAGCCAAGCTTGTAGAGTATGGCTTTTTTTCGGTTCTTTGTCCATGGCGGGGGGTGAACTCCGTCTTTGCCCACCTGGGTAGGATGGCGATCCGATCCATCCGCGCGTGCACGCGGTGGTGAAGATGGTGAATGACCAACTGGCACCCTGGAAGAAGTGGCTTTTATTTGAATAAGTCCTTTTTTTTCTTCCCCTTGTTGGTTTCAAAGGGAATCCATCACTACTGGAAAAATATATATATATATATATATTTGTTTCATCGGGGGCTTAAGCAAATGGAAGATTTTGGTGGGATTGGGACAACATCGGCTCGCGCATTTGCATGTTTGCTAGGAAAAGGGTGGTTGGGCGCTCGGACTCGGGTTGGGGGTTGGGGAAATGTTTGCTTGCCCACATAATCTTTTGATTAAACAAAAGCAACCTGGGTTGCGGCTGCCTATTTGGGGGGGAACGTCGTCCCAAAGCCAAGCGCAGCAAGGCATCTGCCTCAAGATGTAGAGATAGGGCGTTTCCAAGGCTTGGGCGCGAGAACTACTCGAGGGCAGGGTACCCTCTCATGTCATAGTCTCGTGAAGGGGCAGAAAGGCTTCAAAACACATGTGGCCGTGGGTCAAAACCAATGGGATCCCATTTTGGTTGGTAGGTGCACCACCCATTTTACCTATTTTAGCGGGGATTGAATCGGATGTTCACTGGGGCTACGATTTGGATTTTGACCCATGGCCATGTGTGGATCAAGGTCATCAGTGGCTTCTTCCTGGACCCGGAGGATGACACCATGAGCCCGGCCAAGGCGGCCTTTGAGACCTACGCCTTTTGGCCCCTTGAGACGTTTCTCTTCATATGACTAGGTCCCCCAGCAGTGCCCTTTTACCCCTCTTGTTTTGGGGGGGAGGGTCTTCTCCCCGACTCGGACTCGGGGTAAAAAGCTGGGCTGAGACCAGGGTGCTGCCGATCGGGACGTCGCTCTTTGAGTCTGCAGGTGCCGATCGGGCCGTTTCTCAGCGTGTACTTCGAGGGCATGTCTGTCCGCGAGGCGTGGCTGAAGCGATGAAGAGAGCTGAAACGAGCGAGCTGACCTGGGCCCAAGATGCTCTGGGGGTGTCTTACTTCAGGTTTGGGATGGGTTGGCCCCTCTCAAGGGGAGTGCTGGCAAGTAAAGTGAAGCACACAGAATGCACATTCTGAATGCATGCATCGGGTGACCGAAAAGCGGAGCCACCTATTGGATATAGTTTTGAGAGCTCCTAACTCCAATCATGCAGAGCGCCTAACTCCAATCATGCTTGAACCCGTTTGAACTTGATTTGGTGCCACACTACGGAGGAGGTGAGGCGATTGGTGAAACGTGCTTTTGCCACCAGACGCCGGCCCCCCTTCAACAGCGATCCCAAACGAGGTGTGATAGTCAATCTAAAAAGTCGTTTGGACATGTTTTGGCTGGATTCAGGTCATTGCCTCCCAACAAACACATAAACAAACCAACAAACGCCAGCAAACAAACAAACAAACAAACAAGCAAGCAAGCAATGAAGCCGCCCGCTCACCCACCAAGCCCACCCACAAACGAATGAGCCAACCAACCCACCCACCATCGAACCAACCAAAAAACCCACCAACCAGCCAGCCAGCCAACCAACCAACCAACAAACAAACAAATCAACCAACCACCCAACCAAACAATCAAGCAACCGACCGGCCAACGTGCTAAAAACCAGCTGTCAACTCGCCAAAGAGTCCAGTCAACCCAACCAACCCCAGCTGAAATTCGCGTCGCCCGCGTTCCGAGCCATTCCCCGAGGCCTCCGCCGCCTGGAAGAATGGGCCGCCCCGGCGGGCGACCCGCCCCGCGCCAGGCGCTGGGAAAACTGAAGGGCTCTTGCGTGTGTGTGTGTGTGTGTGTGTGTGTGTGTGTGTGTGTGTGTGTGTGTGTGTGCATGTTGCTTGCTTGTTTTTGTTTTTGTTGGCTTTGTTTTGTTCTTTATGTCTTTCTTTAGTTCTTTGTTCTTTCTTTTGTTATTGTTCTTTCTTTTTTTTGTTGAGTCTGTGTGTGTGTGCATTTTGTTTCCTTCTTTGGTTATTTTTCGTTTCTTGTTCTGTTTACTTTCTTTTATTTTTTTCTTTTGTTATTTTCTTCTTTATTTTGTTCCTTTTCTTTAATTGTTTCGTTGAGTCTTTGTTTGTGTGCAATTTGTTTGATTGTTTGTTTGTTTGTTTCTGTTTGCTTTGCTTTGCTATTTTTGTAGTTTTTTGTTATTTGTTTTTTGTTACTGTTCTCTTTCTTTGTTTTGTTGAGTCTGTGTTTGTGTGCATGTTGTTTCTTTCTTTGGTTATTTGTTTTTCTTGTAATTGTTTACTTTCTTTTCTTGTTTATTTTCTTGTTTCTTTTGTTTGTTTTGTTTCTTTTTTCTTTTTCTTTCTTTGTTTCGTTGAGGCTTTGTTTGTGTGCATTTTGTTTGATTGTTTGTTTGTGTGTTTGGTTTGGTTTGTTCTTTGTTTCCTTCTTTTGTTCTTTGCACGTTCTTTTGTTCTTTTCTATTTGATTTTCTGTTTTTTTCTTTGTTTTGTTGAGTCTTTGTTTGTGCGCATTTTGTTTGCTTGTTTGTTTTGTGTTGTTCTTTGTTTCCTTATTTTCTTCTTTTTACGCTATTTTGTTCTTTTTTTTCTTTTTCGTTGAGTCTTTGTTTGTGCGCAAGTTGTTCGTTTGTTTGTTTCGTTTTATTCTTTATTTTGTTCTTTCGGTCTTCTTTCATGTTTGTTTCGTTGAGTCTTTGTTTGTGTCTTTGTTTGGTTGCCTGTTTGTTTTGCTCCTGGTCTTTATTTGCTTGTTATGTTGTTTGTTTGTTTGTTTGTTTGTTGTGTTGTGTTCTGTATGTCTTTCTTTCGTGCTTCTTTCTTTCCTTGTTTCGTCGAGTCTTTGCTTGTGTGTGTGTGTGTGTTTGGTTGGTTGTTCGTTTTGTTGCTCGTCTTTGTTTGCTTGTTTGTTTTCTTTTGTTGTTTATAAGTTTATGTGTTTCTTTCGGTGTCTGCTTTCTGTTCTTGTTTCGTTGAGTCTTTGTTTGTGTGTTTGTTCGGTTGATTGTTCGTGTTGTTGCTCGTCTTTGTTTGTTTGTTTGTTTTGCTTTGTTCCTATTTCTTTCTTTCGGTATTCTTGCTTTCTTTGTTTCGTTGAGTCTTTGTTTATGTGTTTGTTGGGTTGATTGTTTGTTTTGTTGCTCGTCTTTGTTTGTTTGTTTGTTTTGTGTTGTTCTGTATTTCTTTCTTTCGTGTTTTTTTTCTTTCCTGGTTTCGTCGAGGCTTCTTTTTGTGTTTGTTTGGTTGATTGTTTGTTTTGTTGCTCGTCTTTGTTTGGCTGTTTGTTTTGTTTCGTTCTGTATGTCTTTCTTTCGTGCTTCTTTCTTTCCTTGTTTCGTCGTGTCTTTGCTTGTGTGTGTGTTTGGTTGGTTGTTCGCGTTGTTGCTCGTCTTTGTTTGTTTGTTTGCTTGGTTTTGTTCTGGATTTCTTTCTTTCGGTCTTCTTTCTTTTCTTGTTTCGTTGAGTCTTTGTGTGTTTGTTTGTTTTGTTGATTGCTTGTTTTGTTGCTCGTCTTTGTTTGTCTTGTTTTGTTCTTTATTTCTTTCTTTCGGTCTTCTTTCTTTTCTTGTTTCCTTGAGTCTGTGTGTGTGTGTGTGTTTGTTTGTTTGGTTGACTGCTTGTGTTGTTGCTAGTCTTTGTTTCTTTGTTTGTTTTGTTTCGTTCTGTATGTCTTTCTTTCGTGCTTCGTTCTTTCCTTGTTTCGTCGAGTCTTTGCTTGTGTGTGTATGTTTAAAATGTGGTTGGTTGTTCGCTTTGTTGCTCGTCTTTGTTTGTTTGTTTGTTTGGTTTTGTTCTGGATTTATTTCTTTCGGTCTTCTTTCTTTTCTTGTTTGTTGAGTCTTTGTGTGTTTGTTTGTTTTGTTGATTGTTTGTTTTGTTGCTCGTCTTTGTTTGTCTTGTTTTGTTCTTTATTTCTTTCTTTCGGTCTTCTTTCTTTTCTTGTTTCCTTGAGTCTGTGTGTGTGTGTGTTTGTTTGTTTGGTTGACTGCTTGTTTTGTTGCTCGTCTTTGTTTATTTGTTTGTTTGTTTGTTTGTTTGTTTGTCTATTTGCTTATTTATTTATTTGTTCTTTCTTTCTTCCTTTCTTTCTTTCTTTCTTTCTTTCTGTCTGTCTGTCTTTGTTTGTTTGTTTGGTTCTGTTCGCTCTTCTGCCTTTCTTTGTTTCGTTGGGGTCGCGTTTTTCTTCGCCGGGGATGGCCCATGGCCTCGCTTTTCGCCTGCGGCGCATGGACGGGAGGTCCTTTGCGCCTGGCGTAACGTCTCCAGGGCTCTTTCGCAAAGGGGCGCGTTTCCCGGGTTTAGCCTTCAACCAACTTCAACCTCAAAAAAGACAGACAACAACATTCATGTCACAGTCGCTTGACAAAAAGATACGCTCAGTTCCACCCGAAAACCACGGACAATCAAGCGTAGCATCCGAAAGGAACACATTTGTTAAAATGGCTTTGGGGGTTATGTTTGAACTCCGTTCCACACCCGGGGTTTGTTTTTGCACTAACACAGCAGGGAAACCGGTTCATGCCCAAAACCTGTCTCGTGGTCATTCCCTGGCCTCACTTCCTGAGTTCCGTTTCAGACTTTAAAACCACTTCTTGGGTTTAGGCCAGTTGAGTGGTAAATAGAAGCTTCCCCTCACCTCCTGGACTTGTTCCGTTCCGGAGCTTTAGCCTCTTTTGGGGACTTTAAGGTTGCCATTTCATGAAGGACAGAAAATCGGTGATTTCTCTCTCAAGACCATACTTCTAGGTTCTTTGGGGCCAAACCACCAGATGGCTTCCTTCTGGGGCCATCCACTGGAGTCGGGCCGTAGGTCCGTGCCTGAACCGGCCAGGCGGCACGGCGCTGGACCCGAAGTTGCGGGAGCTGCAGGCTGGCTTGCCAGCTGGCTGGGAGGCTGCTTGCGGCACCTGGGGTGGGGGGGGGATGTGGTGGGGGGGGTGGTGTGTGCGGTGAGGAGGGGGTGGGGGGTGGGGGGTGGGGGGGTGGTGGGGGTGGGGGGGGTGGGGGGTGGGGGGGTGAAGGTTGCTTTGGGTAACCTCCCTTACCACCATTGGTTGTGGGATCGGGTTGGGTTGGGTAGGGTGGGAGGGGTGGGGTGGCGTGCTGTGCTGCCCCTTGGAAGACTGAGGCGCAGGCTCCTACCGCCAGTCCTGCCTGATATGAGGAGTGAAATGAAGCCAGAGAAGTCTGACGTAGTGCAGCGGCACTTCGGTTTCTTTTTTGTTTAATCGGCTCCCTGACGCTACAAGAACAGGTGGGGAAAAGTGGCAAGCGTGAGTGTACTTGCTCGTGTTTGCTTCTACATATGTTTGTGGTTTGTATCCATGGTGTTGGCCATGGCATAGCCTTTTCACCAAGTCTAAACTTGTCCTGATGAATCCGCTCAGGGTACTGAGAGGAGCACGCTTCACGGCATTCTGATACCCACCCAAGAACACCAGACATGTTGGATGAACCAGCCAGAGCCACCAGAGCAAAGATGTGCAAACCGAAGCATGAGGCAGCTACGAATGAGATCTGTTTGACAAATTTAAGGGCTGCCGCCCAGTGCCGCCGACCCCTTCAATTAAATGAACGAATTCTTGATTCTCCGGTGCGGCGTTCGCGAGCGAGAATCGGGAATGCGCCAATCCATTTTTCCCTGTGGGGGGGGGGACCTTTTCAGCTGGATGGGCACATTCTTGATTCTCCGGTGCGGCGTTCGCGAGCGAGAATCGGGAATGCGCCAATCCACTTCTTCTTTTTTTTCTTGGGGGGGGGGGGAGACCCCCTCAGTTGGATGGGCGCATTCTTGATTCTCCGGTGCGGCGTTCGCGAGCGAGAATCGGGAATGCGCCAATCCACTCTTTTTTTTTCCTGTTGGGGGGGGGGACCCTTTCAGCTGGATGGGCGCATTCTTGATTCTCCGGTGCGGCGTTCGCGAGCGAGAATCGGGAATGCGCCAATCCACTTCTTTGTTTTTTCTTGGGGGGGGGGAGACCCCCTCAGTTGGATGGCGCCAATCCACTTTTTTTTCTGTGGGGGGGGGGGGGAGACCCCTTCAGCTGGATGGGCGCATTCTTGATTCTCCGGTGCGGCGTTCGCGAGCGAGAATCGGGAATGCGCCAATCCACTTCTGTTTTTTTTCTTGGGGGGGGGGGACCCTTTCAGCTGGATGGGCGCATTCTTGATTCTCCGGTGCGGCGTTCGCGAGCGAGAATCGGGAATGCGCCAATCCACTTCTTTGTTTTTTCTTGGGGGGGGGGAGACCCCCTCAGTTGGATGGCGCCAATCCACTTTTTGTTTCTGTGGGGGGGGGGGGAGACCCCTTCAGCTGGATGGGCGCATTCTTGATTCTCCGGTGCGGCGTTCGCGAGCGAGAATCGGGAATGCGCCAATCCACTTCTTCTTTTTTTTCTTGGGGGGGGGGAGACCCCCTCAGTTGAATGGGCGCATTCTTGATTCTCCGGTGCGGCGTTCGCGAGCGAGAATCGGGAATGCGCCAATCCACTTCTTTTTTTTTCTGTGGGGGGGGGGGTGTGTTGTTTTCGCACAGATTGATCTCCCGCAACATTTGGCTCAAGGCCCCTTTTGCATAATCACGACCATTCGAGCGTGAGGACAAAAGAGCCATTGCAGGCCGCTTACAGGATTATCCATCAGACAATCCACCAGGGACAATCCATCCTCCAATCATCCATTGTAGGCATACTGGACTCTCTCCGGAATAGATTCAGGGACCAACAACGACCTCAACTACCACAGGGTTCCAGTTCCCTCCGGGGATAGGCACCTGGGGCAGTGGGCCTCAATTTGTGGTAGCGGAGCGGGTTTTCCGCAGAGATCCAAGGGAAGATGTCATCAGATGGAGAAGGTTTCATGGAAGCCTACACAAGGGAGGAAACACTTAATTTATCGATGACCGCCAAGCAGCCGCCATCGTACGACGGAAAAGTCAGCTGGTTCAGGTATGAAGAACTCGTGGACGACTGGGTGACAATCACCACAGTAGAAGCAGCCAAGCGAGGTCCATTGCTTAAGAGCAGACTCACTGGAGATGCTTACATGTACAAGGCCGTCCTCCAAAATGACCTTTTGCAAGATCCTGATGAAGGAGTCAACTATTTCAAGAACACGCTGAAGAAGTACTTTTTGAAAGGTGCGACCAACGTGTATCTGTACAGACTCCTCAGTTTCTTCAACCACAGAAGGCAGAACCAAGAGTTCCTCATTTTTACCTCAAAATTCGAAATCCTTCTCATGAGATTGAAGGCAGCATGGATGGACTTGATGCCAATCTTTACGGCACAGTCTCCATCATTTCGACAGTCCGTACAGGACGCAAATGCAAGAACAATTGCTCGACATCAGCAAGCAGCCGGTGCTCGAGCACCGCCTCCAGCCCTGCTAAATGAGGACGATCCTACAGTCCTCAGACAATATATCCAAGGAATGCAGGACAGACAGCGGGACGCATTTCCCTTCGGGGATAATCTCATTGCACAGTTTTTCATTATACAAAGTGAGTTGTCAGATCAACAAAGAGAACGACTCACAAGTGCAATGTCATTAAGGAACATCTCACTCGAAATTATTCCTATGAGATGCTGAAGACGCATTACCATGAACTCTTCATCACACGAGGACATCGATCCAAGATCCATCCATCCGACCTCAAGGAGGCAGCCGAAGCAACACATTCTTCATCATCGAACAAGGTGAATACGAAGGAGAAGAAGGCTTCTGGGTTGAGGATGAAGAAGGACTTGAAGGATTCATGTCAAACAACGATGAAGAGACGTTCTGGGTCCTCGAGGAGAACGATGCACGTATCGCGGAAAACAACAACTCCAAAACCTGCAGTACCTCATCCAGCAGAGAACATGTTCGTCGAGGACCTCACATCTATTCCTGAACAAGCACATTGGAACTGTGTACGTAAGGGAAAGATCCACGTTCTCGAGATCTTTGCAGGAAGTGCCAGATTCAGTCAATGCTGTGCACTGTCAGGTCTTAAGGTTGGGAATTGCGTGGACATCCGCGCAGGATTCGATGTAATGACATCCAAGGGACGACACATGGTCATGGAGATCATCAGGGAACAAGCACCTGATGTCATCCTTATGGCACCAGTCTGCGGACCATGGTCAAATATGCAGAACATTCAGCAAGACCAGCAAAAGGTGGGGGAAAAGCGGAAACGCTACCTTCCCATGGTTGAATTTGTGGCATCCATTGCGCGTTGCCAGTTGAAGCACAGAAGATACTTCATTATCGAAAATCCTCAGACATGCAGGATATGGTATCTGAAATGCATGCAGCAATTGTTTTCAGACCCATCCGTGACCTGGGTGGGGAGATTTCCATTTCTGTGCATACGGACTAAAAGATCCTGAATCCGGGCTCAGAAGTCTCAAGCCCACGAGCTTGATGCACTGCTTACCTTCCGAGGTTATGAGACCGATCTTCAGAAGGTGTAAAAACTTTTCCAGCTCAGTAAAGCATGAACACCAACCCCTAGAGGGAAACGCTGGTTCCTTCGGAAGCAGAACCAAACTGGCACAGGTGTATCCTTACCAGTTCTGTCAGGACCTTGCGCACATCATCTTACGACACTTGCAGGTGAAACCGCGTGACAACGAGGTGTACCTCTTGGAGGACCTTTTTGAACCATTCACCATCAAGCAGGTTGATATCCTGAGAAAGGAGATGGAAGCCATTGACAAGGAGTTCAACATGACCAGCAGCAGTCTTGCAGTCAGAATCCAAGACCTGCCGTTCAACAAGGACGTTCAACCCTTAGTCATTCAAGATCCGCTAGTTCAGAAATTCCAGAAGACGATGAAGCAGTACCCACCTGGGACTGAAATTGATATCTTCAAGCAAGATCCTAATGACTGGCGATGTCAGAACATGTGAAACGGCTGCAAGAAGTTGAGACAACTGTGCATCTCATCCACTCAGTATGATGCATGCACTGCATACGTCCACACCATTGGCATCAATATGCCTATTACGTCACCTCCGGACGATGCAATCATATCCTTCTGGCAGCCTGATCAGCTGAATAGAATTTGGGTCTTGCCTGCATCAAAATGCACTTGGGAGAAGTATGATCCGAAGACGTGGCATGCTGTGATGTTTTCATCCGTTCATGAGTCGTTCACCGATGCGCCGGCCGTCAAGCCGATGCCCATCGAGACGGATCCATTGGATCCCACGGATGCACCTCAGCAACCTGACACACAGCAACCACCTGATCAACCGGACCATCCCATGCCTGATCCAAGACCTCCAACACCTCCGGACGAGAGCATGTCAGATCCTCCTCCGGATCCTCCACATCAGCCTGATCATCCCATGCCGCCAGCACCACGCAGTGCAAGCCTGGCGGAGGAGATGCAGCGCTTAAACGGCAAAAACAGTCCATTTCATCCTCAAGTGGACTCAATCGACTGGGGGGTGAATGTCTCTTTGCCGTCACAGTCGCAATCATCTCAGCCAATTCTTCCGACTGTCGTGGTACCTTCACCACCTGCGATTCTTACAAATCCCGAAGCAGAGGAACACGATGAAGATCTTGAACTGCCGACACTTGTGCAAGAAGAAACAACCGGCAGTCCGTCAAAGAAGCAGAAGACTGGGAAGAAGAAGAAGAAGCCGGATGACAATGATGAGTCACCTGAGCATTCTCCAAGACATGATCCTGCATCTTCATCCAATTATAATCCGAACAATCCAGCGAATTTGCCGGTTCAATATGAAAGTCGGGGCGATGGGCTGAAGGCCCCTTTCACACGTCCAAGAAGGACAGGGTTGCCTTCGATATCTCTCGGAACCGTAAAGGATCCGGTGTTCGCACAGATCTTCTGTTCGGCTGTCATGAGTGACCAATGCGCTTCATCTAGAACGAGA